TGGATACAAATCTCTTAGCAGATATGATTTGTAAATATTGTCTCTCATTCTGTGGGACAGTCTTCTCATTTTCTTGAAGGTGTCCTTTGAACACAGCAGAAATCTTTAGCTTGAATAAAGTCCAACTTATCTACTCCTATGTTTTCTTCTAAGAGTTTCATAGTTTTAGGTCTTACATTTAGGTCTATGATCCATTTTGAGTCAACTTTTGTGTATGGGTAAGGTAGGGCTCCAACTATAGTTTTTGCACATTGATATCCAGCTGTCACAACACCACTTGTTGAAAAGACAAATTGTACTCATTTTGAAGAAGATAATTATAATTGCATAATTAGTCATCTGGCTCCCAGTTAGACTGTAAGTATCAAGAGGGGAGGGACTGCACCAACCTTGTTCACTACTGTATCTCCAGAACTCAGCCTAATGCCTAGCTCCTAATAAGCACTCATAAATATTGGTTGAAGTAATAATTTTATTACTAATAATAAGTACTTTACAATTCTATGCATTATAAGCATTATCATTTTCCACGTTATTTGGGCTCACAGAAGTTAGGCAATGTGTGCCTTGTATTGCTGGTTCTCAATTTTTGACTTAGGTGCTCCCTCCTCACCTAGGAAGGGAGTTAGAGAGCTCTTCCAGGGCACGGACTGCTTCTCCTTCCTCATTGTGTTGCCACCAACACAAATTCAGTTCAGGGCTAGGCAAAGAGGACAGGCTAGACAGATGAATAACTGTGGGACAAATGGACAATACCCTCAAGACCAGGTCCTTACTTACCTCCAGTCCCTCTTAGCCTCAGAATGTGATCCAGGAACACCAAACAGTATGCAATTTCTCCCTCCCCATCACACACCCTCCTAGGCTATTTCTTGTCTTAGTGATACCACTCATGCTGACTCCTTTGCCTAGAATGCCTTCCCCTTCTACTTGCTAAGCCCTGCTGATATCTTAAGACTCTAATTAGGTGCCATCTCCTCTAGAACGCTTTCTCTGGTCCCCCAGAATGGCCAGAGGCATGTTCTGGCCTCCTGTCTCTCAGCACTGACCATACTGTGTTATTACAGTCTTCCCCAGTCTCCTTCATCAAGGGCAGGAATCATGCTTGGTCAAGTGTCCCCTGTGTCAAGCATATGACCCAGCATGACCAGCCCTTAGTATATTTTTGTCAAATGAACAAATGAATCCTGGAGAGAAAGGGCAGGCAGTCTGAAGTCCAGGTTTTATACCATCAGGCTTCCTTCATTAGAAAATATTTGGGCTAACAAACAACTGAGTTAAGGTCTCAGCAGAGAGGCCCAGCTCCCTGCTGGGAGAAGGGAAATGGGTAAGGGTGTTGTCTTTCACCCAAGTTTGTTCTGAAGGAAATGTGATCTTCAGAAGAGGGAGAACAGGAGGCTTCACTTCTCCCAGCTCCTGTATGGCTCAGCCTGAGCCTGGACAGATGTGCCTTCAGTCTACACTGTGCCCTGGTTTCGGGTGACTAGTTCCTGAGTCTAGAAGCCAGGCTCAGGTTTGGGCTGAGCCCAGGAGCAGGGCGACCTGCTTATGCTACTGACAGGTGAGACAGGGGATCCAGGACCGGTTTTCACTCCTGAAAAGCTGAACACACTAACAAGGTTTAAGTGCCCTGGAGGAGAAGGAAGAAACTAGTTGTGACACAGGGAGAAAGGAAGAGAGGAAGGGAAGAGGAAGGGACCCAGCCTCCCTCTAATAGAGCCAATGGGAGTATGGAAATAAGACTCTGGACTGCCTGTTTCTGGTCTGCTGAAAAGTCAGTAAAAAGCAACTTTCCCCAATTTCCGCTGTGCTAGAGAATACAGGAACTAACCTTGTCCCTGCCCTGGGGAGGCACACAATCCAGTGGCTTAAGGTGAAGTCTGGCTCACAACCTTCTTAATATAAAGAACAAGAGTGTGGAAAGTGGCAGATCCCGCCCTGTCCTGTTAGCCAGGTAAGCCCAAGCCACAGAGTTACCCAGCCCCACATGAAGCAGACCAAGAGCGCCCACTCATCAGGGCATCTATCCAGAGCTCTTGGCTTAATCATCTCAAACTCTGAGAATTCCCTATCTGTTCCTGATTAAGATAGCATTTGAGCCTCACTGGTTTTCCTGTTTGTGGACTGAATGCCTCAGTCCTGACATTCTGCCCTACTTCTCTCACTTGACCTCCAACTTTGCTTCTCCTTCCACACACTGGCACATACCTTCCTAGATGACCCTCGTTCTCTCCCAGACCAGAAGGGAGGCGTGAGGCAAAGGAAGGGGAGATCACACCCAGCTGGGAGGAGTCAGGGAAGGCTTCACAAGGAATGCAGCACTTAAGCTGAGCCTATTAGGCTAGGGAGATTTAAGTAGAGGGTGAGGAGCAGAAAGTACAGAGGGCTGTCTACGTGGAAGGCCAAAGGGCCAGGGCCAGGGCCCAGGATCTGTAGCTTCCAGAGTGCCCTTAAAGAGAATGAAGCACCTCCCCTCTGAGCAGAAGAGCCTCAGGCCACTCCCCTTCATTATCCAGAGCTGTCCCAAGGGTCTGGGGAGGGTAAGGAGACATCAGGGCAGAGACACACAGCACAGAGCCCCAGAGAGGTCAAGGGGAATGAAGGGTAGAAGGCAGTGTTATTCACCAGGTCTGAGTTTTATTCCAAATACTGATATCACTGACCACACTGATCATACACATGGTGACCCAACCATGCATAAACTGTGTAAATTTTGTGTTTTTTAAATTGAGAATGGGACTCTATCCTGCTATAGGCAGGTCTGTCAGGCAGAGCTAAGGCCAGGACAGGCAGGCAGGCAAAGAAATTAAGAGTAATGTGAAGCACCTATGCAGAGTCTAGGACACAGAAAGGCTAAATAAGGACCCACTGTAGGAATTCAAGAAAGTTTCCTTCTGGCAAGGATGGCTGACTCTCTCTCCCCGACCTCTAGGTCTAGCTCTATTAGCAGGAAGAACTGTAATTGGTAGGTTACATGTCTGTTTTTCTTGAAACCAGGGTCTGGGTCTCACACACACACACATACCAATCTCGAGGTATCCAGCAAAGGCCCGCTCATTCATCCATATGCAGGAACTGCTAGGGGTAAGGAGAGAAGAATGTCCTAATTCAGGCCTTCATTACTTTGAATTTGTCTTACTAAAACAGCCTTTTAACATATCAGCTTTCAGTCTTTCCCCAATTCAGTTCATCCTTCACCCTTCTGAATGACCCTAACTGGGCAATTTCCCTGCTCAAAAATAGTCCATTTCTCCCCAGTGATTATAAGATAAGAATTCAAAACTCCTTACTATGGGCATTCCAGAACTTGTACATTCTGGCTTCCTTCTTTCCCCACCCTGCAACTCTGCACAAGTACCACCTCAGCAGCATCAACATGACACTGGGCCAGCAGCCAGCCAGCATCTTCTGCCCCCTGCCTTTGCTCAGTTTGTTCCAGGCTCTTTGCTTCTGGGGAGGAGGGGGGAGGGAAAGGGGGAGACTGTTATGCTACAGGGTAGAGTCTCTCACAAACACTGAAGGAAGATTCTGAGTCATCACAACCAAGAGAGATGGGACAAGAGGAGTCAGGAGAAAAGCAGGTGAGAGACTGGGACACACATGAAAGGCCCCTACAGACCCTATCCACACAAACATATGCATGTTGCTGAGTCACACATACACCATAAATCCCATCACTTTCTCTATCTTTGGGCAGATGTTTAATTGCTATTAGAAAAACGTGTATTTGAAAGAGCTAAACTCAGTCTGCCTATTGATGGAAGAAAGGTGGAGTCACAGCACTGCCACTCTCAAACGTGCTGCCTACATTGGGTTGCCAGAGAAAAGCAGCAGCCTGAGAGCCCTTAGCAGTTACCAACAGGTGATTCCAGTGTCAGGAGAGGCCTGACAGGAGAGGGCCTAGCCAGTCTCACCCCTCCCTCTCTTGTACTGCAGTAGAAGAAAGTGAGGCTCATCTGTTTCTGGGGGAATGAAGATGCCACACACAGCCTGTGGTTATGAATGGCTCTTATAACAACAAGCTGACATCTGTGCTTGGTTTTTAAGATGCATCATCGCATGTTTATTAAACTATTGCTCTATCATATTTATTAGGCTACGAAACAACTCCCAGCCCATACTTCCAAAAGTGGTTTATTAAAAACTAAGCCTTGAACATTAATACTCAAAAGCACCCTTGAGAATCAATAATGCTGCAGATAAAATGAAAGGGAATCAAAGCAGTAAGTCTTGGTAGGGGCTGTAGCTGCCTTTCAACATTTTCTCATATGTTCAGGCAGCTGAAGTGGGGAGGAACATGAAGGGTATGTGGAACTGGGTCAGACTTCCTATCTAAAATGTGGACGTGGTAGCATGGAAGGGGGAAGTGTCCTATGCCATGTAGCTCTATGCAAAGGGCCAAAAAACAGCCAAGATTAGGCCCCGTGAGTGCTACTAGTTTCACCAACAACAAAACCTCTGTCCCTAACCAACAGTCCCATGCTGATGCCCTATGCAGGCCCAATCTGAGCATCCATCCTGGACACAAACTCTGCTCTGCTCCTGGCACCAGGCTGATCTCTGAGTTGAGTCTTGTCCCTGCCCCAAGAATAAGCCTCATATCCAACTGGCCAGTGGTCTCTTTCAGCTCCCTCCCAAATCCCCAAGCCTCTCCATGGGTATCCACCTGCACCCCACTGACGCAACAAGCACTAACACATGGCCAGTTCCACAAAGAGACAATAACAAATTAGAAGATTCAGTGAAGAACCCACAGGATGCAGAGGGGACTCCAAACCACACCCTGTGAAGAACAAAAGAGTGGAAGGATCCAGGAGTGTTTGGAGTAAAAAAATGGAACACAGGGCTCTCAAAGAGAGCACAGGCAACTCTCTGACTACAGGATTCAGTTCCTAGCTTACTGTGAGGATTTCCTCCAAGACGGTCATCGCCAGAGGAAGGGGTCCACCTCACTCAGCCCCTCCTATGGGGGAGAGCAAGGCCTGGGGTTCAACACTCACCTGCTGACTTCTTGAGCATTGTTGGCACGAGCAGCTTCCATCAGGGCTGCATCTGAAGAGAGAGGGGGCACTGGTCAGATCCCTGGCCAGGACCTACCCCTCAGGGCAACTTAGAGGGTCCAGTAAGACAGTGAAAGTAGAAGCACTTCAGAAACATGGGCTTTAACAAGGGAAATGATGCCAAGATCCAGGCATACCTCAGAAATACTGCGTGTTCTGTTCTAGACCACTGCAATAAAACAATTATCACAATAAAGTGAGTTATAATCTTTTTTGTTGGTGGAAGATTTGGCCTTCAATTTGTAAAAAACACAACATCTGTGAAGCACAATAAAGTGAGTGCAATAAAATGAGGTATGCCTGTACTAAAAGAGAAGGCTAATCATCCCATGCGTACATGTTAACAACTTGTCTTCCACATCTTTCTATTACAGAACCAAACTCTTAACTCATCACAGAGGTAATCTCAGTAAAGTGCTAGCACCAAGTGTTGCCAATGATAAACGCTCACTGTGTGAGTTCTTTCACTCTCCATTAGCTATGAAGCTATGAATGTTTTACATGACTATCATTATGAGTCATTCCACTACCTTGCCCCACTTTCTCCCCTAACTCATTTCTCAGCCTAGTTTTGAATCTTGATGTCACAGGTCACAAGCCCAGAAGGAGGGTCAGGATTCGGAGGAGCAAGTAGGGTTGGGGGCCCTTCTGAGAGTAGAGAGCAGTCAGGAGACCTGGCTCCAAAACACTCTGCCCCCACTCACCATGTGTTGTGGCAGCCCCTTTCCCTCTCAACCCCAGCTTCCCTGACTGTAAAGCAGAGGCAATAACCCTTGCTCTGTCAGCCTCACAGGATGCTGAGGAAATGAAATGATGATTGGAAAATCTGCAAATGCTTCAGTGCCAAACCAAGGAAAGGGAGATCCAAATCATAGGGTTCCAACTCTTAGGAATTACCTAGCAGAAAAGCTAAGCCTGGCTTCCCCGGGGCAGCCTGCTGGCACCACCTTGTGGCCACAAATAAAAACTAACTGGAAAGAAATCTCAAAAGACAACAGAAGTAAAATTTTTTCAAAGAGTTAATACCAACTGCCTGGAGAGTCCTCTGTGCCCAGCCTGGTTTTGAGCTCCATTGTTGAACACTGGACGGACTCATGCCCAGTCCTGCTTCAGGGAGTTGTCAGTCCAGCCAAGAGACTCATCCAGTGAAACAGAAAGAGGCACTGGAGCAGGGAAGAAAGCAGGCTCTGGAGATATACAGACATGGGCTCCCACCCCAACTCTGCCACTTACTTGCTGTACCACCTCGCCAACGCAACTAACCTCCTGAGCCTCAGTTTCCTTATCTGTAAAATAGGGATAAGGTAGCCACCTTATCAAGCATATCCAAACCAGTTCTGTGGTTCAGACATTAGTGCCTCCACCTGACCTACCAACCTAGACTACAGGGTCAGGTCTTTCCTGGGTATCTCCCCTAAGCACACACCCAACTGGGAGGGAAACAAGCCTTCCTCAGAGATAGCTAAATCCACTCTTCCCTCATTCTGGAGGAAGAAATGGCTTCTGTAAGGTCACAGAAGAAGTGAAGAATGAGCAGAGATTAGAACCCAGGCCTCCTGGCTCCTAAAGGGTATAGTTTCTACCACACTGCACTAAGGGCCTGAGTTTACAACTCCAAGTCAGGGGACAGATAGACAGCAAGTCAGAGGGGCTGGAAATGATCATGGTTTTGGTCATTAACTATTTTGGTAAACAGACTCTGGTCTCCCTGTTTGGGTTCACATACCGTGAAGTCCAATCTGGAGCCCCCAAGGACACCTCCCCTTAATACTTCTAAACATACTGGCCTCAGAACATTCCCTGAGCTCATGGCTCTCCAATGCCTACAGGATAAATTCCAAACCATTCTGCTGACATCCAGGCTCCACTCTCCATCTACTCTCACCTCATCACAAAGACCCCCTGTTCTCCAACCAGGCTGGCCACTCTGCTAGCTTCTGCACACACCATGTTAATCTGTGACTCCCATATCTTCATTCCCTGAAGCCTCTGCATGGAATACAATCCAACTCAAGACACACTTACTGAGTACCTACTAAGTTCTAACACGATGGTGGAGAATGTGAAGGTATTAAAGGAGCTGGTATCAACCTGAAAAAAAAATAAGATGCACTCCTTGCTCTCATGGAGGTCACAGGAAGATCTTTTCATCTCCTGTCTTGGCCTTCATAACGCAAGTTCAAATTCCCCACCCTCCAGGAGTCTCCAATCTTCCAGGAAAGCTTTCCTAACCCTGTTGGCCCTTTGATCCCCCAACTACACATATTCAGCCAGTCACCAGACCCACAGGCCTGACTGCCTGCACTGTCTCCTTAATTAACTTTGTGTTAAGTTAGGAGTTCCACACCTAGCCCAAAACTAGGCACACAGAAGGTATTCAAAAAATTCTAAAAGTTATAGAATCATAGCATGCCTAACCCAGAAGAGCCCTTAGAGCTCTATTTCAACATCCTCATTTTGTAGATGAAGAAACAAAGAATCAGTTGAGGAGGAGCAAGAGTCTAAAGTCACAATGGGAGTTAGAGGTAGAAGCAAAACAAGGTCCCAGTTGTCCTCCCAGTCCAAGGCTGCTGAAAAAACAAATGTCAAGGCAGTCCCCACTCTTGCTCCAAAGTCTCAGAGCTAGGGATGCATGTAGTCTATGAACACCATGCCTCAGTCTTCCCCCTTGAGGAACAACTGAGAACCTGAGTGGTTGGACTCATGTAGGCCAAAAGTCTGGCTCTCTGCCTTCTCTTCCACTACCTGCTTAACTCCATGCACCCAGGTGAGATGCCAACCCGGGTCAGCCAGCCCCCATAATTGCTTTGGGTCTCTATGGAGCCAACTTCCTAGTCTTCCTTCTTCTGCCCCACATGTCAAGATCACCTCATGCCTGAGACCAAGCACAGCAACCCCCTGGGAGTCTGATGGACAGACCCAGGCTGCTGAACTCCAAGAAAGTCAAAATAACAGCACTGTAAGAGTACAGAGAAATAATTCTTCACTGTATAAGCGGGGAAACTGAAGCCAGATAGGAGCAAGGGAGGAGCAGTGGCAAAGCTGGCACTGAAAGCAAGTCTTTTTCCCTTCTTAGGCCACCTTAGTGGTAAACTTCTTTAAACCACTTAGCAGTTGCCCTCAAAATACAAAGCAGTTTCCTGGAGACCTCTTAAAAGAGGATATGGCCCAGGCATAATATCAGAGCATTAAAGGACCATACTCTAACTTCAGATGTTTAGTCCAATGGTCCCGTTGTACAAATGGACAAAGTGATGCACCAAAAAGGGAGGCTGCACTATAACGGGAAATTATGCAAGTCTGAGGTACTGAGCTCTCCAGGGCAAACCCTACCCCTTTGGCAATGTCTTGGTCCCTCCGGGACAGAGACGCTGCTGTTCTAAATCTATAAGCAACTCCCACCCTCCAAAGATATTGTCAGGATATTCCTCCCTTCTCTCCAGCCTCTCCCTTCCTCGAACCCAGACTGTCCCGATAATCACCCTTGTTGGATGGGCTCTTGCTGTAACAGTGAACCACGAGCGCCGTGGCCAGGGCCCACATGCCCAGTCCGGCTCTGTTGGGGACCCCATTCCAGCGGTCCTGTTTGGGGAGTGTTTCTTCGGGACCAGGAAGGCGTCCCCATGTGGCGGCTGCGAGGCACGGGATCTCGGTGCATCCTCCCTGGCGCCCTCCGGTGGCTGCCCCTCTTCGGGTGAGCAGGACCAGCGACGTTCCAAGACGCCCCCCGATGGCGGTCCTCAGCCACTGCGGCTCCCCGCAGCCCCCGGTGGTCACACTCCGGTCGGAGGGACCTTGGTGGCTCCTGAGCGATGGACACCTGAGCAGCTGGAGGAGGAACCGCGGCGCCAGCGCTGTTCTCCTCAACACCAGGGACCCCAACATCGTGACAGCCGCTTGGATAACCCGCTGGAGCCGACCCCTGTGCTGGCCACGTCCAACATGGCTGCCGCGGCGCGTTCGAAGGCGCCGCGAACGGGGTGAAATTACGCACTACCTCACGGGAGTGGTAGTCCACAGCTCTAGAGCTTTCCGCAGCTGGAGGACAAGTAAACTACAATTCCCAGAAAGCTGTGGAACTTGCGTCACAATGACTGCCGATTTACAGGAGCCCGGGGCATGTTGGGAAATGGAGTTCGGGCGTGGTGGCGTGGTAAGAAGGAAAATGCTGAGGTGGGGCGTGGCGATTAAGACGGGAATCCGAGAGTATAGTTGAAACACCCAGCTCGATTTCTGAGTTGTGTAAGTTAAACAGGGGTCTTCTGCAGAGGCTTATTATGAAATGTATGCTTATTTCTTATTCTCTTTTCAGCCTGAGACAGCTTTTCAAAAAAGATGTCTAGTGTAACCGGTCCTCCTGAAATAGGAATTCCGTTAATATTCCTCCTCAGACTTCCTTTTGGTTGAAAAGCCGGTCCTTGGTCTTGCTTTCTCATTTGTGTTATTTTCAAAGGGCTTTCGCATGGGCTATCTCATCATATCCTCTTGGCATCTGCGTGTGGGAAGCTGAACAAGGATTATTATGCCCGTCTCCAGGGAAGGGAATTTAGGCTCAAAAGTTAAATGATTGGTCAATAAATCAAATAACATTCAAGTCTTCTGACTATGAGCCCATCCTCTCCACAAACACGTGCAAACGTGGGAACGTGAGCCCCATGATACAGGGGCTTTGTTTTTTCACTTGTATGTCACTAGCACCCAGAAGAATGACTGGACAAAAATAGGTTCTCAATAAATATTTGGCCAGTGAATGGATTACTCTCACCTAATAAAGCGTGGGGGAATGAATGTGAGGTTTAGAATACAGGCAGTCTTGGATTTCAGTTTTGACTCTTGCATTTACTACATGTGTGATCTTGGACAAATTTCTATACCTCTCTTATTGTTAATTTCCTCATTATTATCAAAGATAATGCCTACCTTCAAGACAGTTGCTTGTATTAAAGGAGGTAACATGGAGACTCGTGTTAAATGAGATAATGTATAGACCACCATCAAGAAGTTGTGGCTATCATATTCCCTATTCTAGGGATGCATTGGATCTCCTACTGTAAACTTCTTGAGGGCAGGAATGGAGTTTCTCATTTCTTCATCCCTTTGTAAGGCACTCAGCAAATAGCTATTAAATAAATGAATTAATATTTTAAGGTTACTCAATAGTCAAAGCATTTTGACCTTCCTATTTTAAGAGATTCCCAAGATATCCTGTCTTGTTAGCCACTCTATTCACTTGTAGCAGCTTCATCCTCCCTGTATTCTTAGAATACTTTGCCTCCCAATTTAGGGTTGGTCAGAGCAGAAAGAGTGGTCTCTGAGCTCACATTACCAGGTGGGTCAAGACAGTGCATCTGAGTGTTTAGGTAAACGTCACTAGTAATAAACAGAGTTCGAACCCTCTTGCTGTAGACACATTCTAGGGCCCTTCACTTCACTTAGCACCGCATAATTTTCAAAGTATGTACCCACTGATTCTCTCATTTGATTTTCACAAACATCCATAAGGAGTGCAAGGCAGAGCTGAATCACTATCAGCATTTGGTAGGGAGTACTGAGAGGTTGAATGATCGTGTCTGCCCGAGGGAAAGAGTTGGGAAGCATGAGAAAACCCATTAGAATCAGCCAGGACTCAGAGTGGATTCTAGATCCTCAATAACCAATTCAAAAACTCCTGGGTCACATTGCTAACATTTTACTTTATTTATTTTTAAATATGTCTTTATTGATTTCAGAGAGAGGAAAGGAGAGGGGGAGAGAGAAACATCGATGAGAGAGAGTCGTTGATTGTCTGCCTCCTGCACAACCCCCAAGTCGAGCCTGCAACCTGGGCATGTGCCTTGACCAGGAATCGAACCTCAGTCTCCTGGATCATAGGTAGATGCTTAACTGCTGAGCCACGCTGGCTGGGCACATTGCTAACATTTCAAAAGGTCTTCAACTCAGGATGACTTCCTTTTAGTCTACCTAGAAAGCAGGGATTTATATCAGGTTTCTTGGCCCTGAGCCTCTAGCTCTTGGGTTGGGGGACAGAGAACTCCAGCTTCATTTAGTTTATAATGAAGTGGCATGGGAATATTGGAGTGGGGTTTAGGAGGAGGCAGAAAGTGAAGGATCCATGAATGCAGTTTCTGTGCTTACCTACCTCTGGAGTAGAGTTAGAGGCCATTCTATAGACTTCTGAAGAAAACACTTCCCTGAAAAACAAAATAAAACAACAAAACACTTTTTTGTTGTAATCCTCACCCGAGGATATTTTCCCCCCCACTGATTTTTAGAGAGAGTGGAAGGGAGAGGTGTGGGGGAGAGAGAAAGAGAAACATTGGCATGCCAGAGATACATAGATTGGTTGCCTCCTGCACATGCCCCAGCCAGGGCTGGGACTGAACCCTACATTAACCCTTGAGTTACATACTATTAGTCGTCACAATTTTGTCTGATTCAGAGCCCAAATTCTTAGCCATTATATAGTTTGCTTTTCTGAGGAAGGAAACGTGTGTGTGTTTATGTATGTGTGTGTGTGTATCTGTGTCTGTATTGTGTCTATGTGTGTATGTGTGTGTATGTTGTGTCTATGTGTGTCAAGGTATGTGTGAAAAATCTGCATTATTTTTTCTTAAATACACTGCACGCTTTCCTGTATAACAGAAGGTAGTGAATATAATCTTTTCCTGATGATCAGAGTTATTGCTCTTGCAACAGATATTTTTTTGGTACCATGTTGTAAATGTAGAAATCCTGTGCTCTAATCCAAACCACGCTCGGGAAATATTTTGCTAAGTAAATCTTTTATATTACCTTCTTTTCTTGTCATCTGTGTCTTTCCCATAGAATCAAAATGTCGCATATGTCCTTTGGGCTTAGTAACAGCTACTTTTTACCCTAAGAATAAGAATTTCATTTATGATAAATCTGCCATTTTATGTCAGTGGGAAAAAGATTATTTGGTAAATGGTGTTGGGACAGGTGGGTGGCCAATTGGAAAAAAAGAAGTTGGATTTATATCTTACCCCTTCCACCAAAATAAATTCTACTAAATCGAAAGATTTAAATGTGAAAAAAAGAAACCAGGAAAATGCTAGAAAAAAACATGGCCCGGCCGGGCGTGGCTCAGTGGTTGAGCATCGACCTAAGATCCAGGAAATCGCTGTTCGATTCCCGGTCAGGGCACATGCCTGGGTCTCAGGCTTAATCCCCAGTCAGGGGCATGTAGGAGGTGGCAGATCAGTGATGACTCTCATCATTGATGTTTCTTTCTCTCTCTGTCTGTTTCTCTCTCTCCCTTCCTCTCTCTGAAATCAATAAAGATATATTTAAAAAAAAATGCCCAGCCGATGTTTCTATTTCTCTCTCTCTCTGAAATCAATAAAGATATATATATATATTTAAACACAAACAAACAAAAAAACATGAAATTTTTAAAAGTAACTGGAATAGGAAAGCTTTCTAGGCCTGACACAAAACTCAGAACCCACAATAGAAAATACTGATATACTTGATTCTACAAAGAACAATTCTGATGGGAAAATACCATAAACAGTGAAAAATACCATCTGGGGAAAAATATATTTGCACCACAGTAGTGAAGGGCAGTAATACAGAGAACTCCTATAAAATACGAAAAAGACCTATAATACAGAAGATAAATGGACAAAGGCAACACCTTTGTGCAGAGTAAAGAATGGGGCTCCTAGGAGATGATTTAGAAAGAGGGGCCCTCATGTATGATGGTGGCTAGGTAAGCAGTGTGCAGCCAGATTTCAGCTTCCGCTTTAACAAGTTTCACACCCAAACTTAGCAGCACTGAGGAAAGTACTTGACCAAAGAGTTCACAAGAGAAATAGAAACCAAATTAAATTTAAACATGAAAATGTGTTCAACAACACCTATAATAACGAATGCACAAATTAAAACTGTAATGATCCAAATCTTGCACCATATACAAAAACACTCTCAAAATGGGTTATAGACCTAAATACAAAACCTAAAATTCTAGGAGAAAATCTTTGACTCTGAGTAAGGCAAATATTTCTTACACCAAAAAGGTTACCCATTTTTTAAAAAAAGATAAATTGTACTTTATTAAAATTAATAGCTTTTGCTCCTCAAAAGCCACTGTTAAGAGAATGAACAAACAAGCCACAGAAAGGGTCACTCTGAAGTGTTTCAGGTAGAAAAAAATATCAAGGAACAGAACACTTGTATATAATCATTGGTACTATTTCAAAACACATACATATTTAAATTTTAAATATTATCCTATATATACTTAGGATATCTCTAGAAGCATAATAAAAATAGTTGTCCTTGGGGTGGAGGAAGTGGGACTGAGAGATGCCGGAAAAAAGTATACAATTTTGAATTTTGTATCATGTGCATATATTGCCTATTCAATTAAATCAACCAATCTCTATTATTTCAATATCAAATTCACTTTAAATGAATTTTTGGCATCATGGGAGTCCTTTTAATCTCAGACATTTAATTACCACATTATTTTTTCTCACATAGAAACACTGACATCTTGTGGACTTTTAAGATAATGCTATTTTAAAAATTAATTTATTTTCTAAATACAGTTAACATACAATATTATATTAGTTTCAGGTGTATAACATAGTGGTGAGACATTTATATACCTCACTAAGTGATCACCCCGATAAGTCTAGTACCCATCCGACACCGTACATAGTTGTTACAATATTATTGACTATATTCCCTTTGCTATAGTACAGACCCTTTGGAAAACAGTTTGGCAGTCTTCTATAAATTTAAACATACTATAAGTCTTAGCAGTTTCACTCCTAAAAGAATGTAAAGTTACATTCCCATAAAAACAAAAAAAAAAAAAAAAAAAAAAAAAGCCCTGTACATGAACGTTAATAATGCCT